GACCCGTCTCCAAAGGATTAACCTGGTAACAGTATACGTCTATTTATAATTAAATGTTATTGTTTTATTGCCCTTTGAACCATGTCTAACTACTATTTGTGACATTATCAGATCTAAATTACTCTTGGAATGTGCAGATCAAATTATCCTATTGAATTCATTACCCACAAGCTGCTCGCATGCGTGCCTCAAGAAACATTTTTATTATATCATTATTATTTTTTTTTACCTAATATAACAGGTCTATGTATAATTAAATGTTATTGTTTTATTGCCCTTTGAACCATGTCTAACTACTATTTGTGACATTATCAGATGTAAATTACTCTTGAAATGTGCAACTCATATTATGCTATAGAATTCTTTACCCACGAGCTGCTCGCAATGCATGCCTTAAGAAACATTTCCATTATATCATTATTATTTTTTATTTATTTAATATAATCTTAATTAAATTAAAAAGATCTCCATTTTTACATTTTAGTTACTTTTATAATAATGAATAAAGAATATACATGAAAAACAAGAAATAAAATATTTACCCAATGTTTTTTTGTTCTTGCTGTCAATTGTTTATGATGACACTTAACCCTACTTTTTTATACTAGTACTTTTTTATGGTAGTAATGCACTAAATATTTTTTTTAAAATAAATATTGCACCACAGAACATAAACTAATAACATGCAAAAAGTAGACAATTTCCTCTAACTCTAAAATATTTTCTGGCTTTCTAACTATGCGACAAGACCCATAACAAGTTCATTCAAGCTGGTCTTTAGCTTTCCCATGGGAACGGAGCTTGTACTCTGAGTGAAATTGATGATTACCTGTTCAGAACACAACATTATGCAATACGTCATTTGATAGATGAAAACCTTGGCTATCTGATGTTTATAAGTAATATATAATTAAATGTAAGAGACAACTATCAAAAAATCCTGAAAGAGAGAATGTGGCAGAAGAGGTCTAATTTTCTATCTGATAGCTCTGTAACCAAACAAAATTGAATGCTATAAAAATTATGGTTTGTCTGAGCATTGATGATTTTATAGTGAGTAATTTACATTTAATTTCATACATTTTGAAAGGGTGGTGGATAAAATAGAGAAGAGAAGATGCCTAGAGAAAATGTGTCACACTGGGAAAAATTAAGAATTGTTTTTAATATTGCGTTGTAGAATTATGAACTTGAACTTATATACTATTAAAATATGGATTATTAGCTAAAATTTTGCGCTATACTAATTGGTATGACATCAACAAAAAGTAGTTTAATAAAATTTGGAATGTAAAACGTGTCATGTGTAATAAAGGATACCCGTGGTGATAGGGTTAATTGGTAAAATTTCTTTTCAGTATTAAGTGTTATTCCATTATGATATTACACAAATATTTTTGGGTATAATTAAAAAAAAAGGACCTATTATGGAAATGAGCCTTGATTCAGTCAATATAATTAAAGAATTTTACTGTGAGCATTCAAGTAGAGATGTCTGCATTGTTTATAATGGTGATTTTTAACTGGTATATCAGAAGATTGAAGCTTGTACACACAATGATTGCAAAGCAAACATGTTTTTTCGATAATGGTAAAGTAAGTGTCACTCGAGCATAGTCAAATGGGATTTAATGACCACCCAAATATTTTAAAATTTCCAGAAAGTCTATCATCTTCTGATTTTTAATTTTTTTTTTTAAGTAACACTTGACCTTTATGTAAGTCACATAAGTTCTTTGTGTAGAACAAAAGATCCACATTTTGGGGGGGGGGGGGGGGGGGGAATGTGGTGGCTACCTCTGGTGCAACTAATTGAATTAGATAATTTTTTTAATATGATAATGAATGGTTTTAAGATGCCACTAATTAATCTCATAAACATTGCAGTGTATTTTGCATAACACTAAATACAAAATTTTGGCTTAGTCAAATGCTACACAAGCTTAAAGGTTGAAAAAACACTAATGTTTCTTTGTGTGTTTAAAATGGATGCATTATCCTGTAGTTTGTTACTACTTTCACTCTGGGGTGTTATTAGCATGTTAAGAACAAAACATTAGTGTTTGTAAATTTCCCAATTGGGGGAAAGTCGAAATAGTTTTGAACAAAATAACATTAATTTTAACTTTGTAGTTTCTATAAAAGTTTAGTTTTATTGATTTTAACCAACTTGGTTGTCATGGTGTGATGTAATTGTCTATATATCAGCTTTGAGAAATAATCTAAATGCATAATGAAAGTTTTGTTTCTGTTCTTTTTAACTGTATAAGGTAATTTGGCTTCCAGTTCAGTGGAGACTTGTGTAGAGATCAGGACAGTGATAAAAGCTTATCTTGGTGATATGTTGCTAGAAGAAAAATGTGCTCAAGTGTTTTAAGTTAACGCTCATATTCTTCTCATTATTTTGATGTCATGAACATGTAGTTTTTGATAATCAACAAGCATGGCATTTTAAATACCCTGCATCAAAATCTAGAAAACTCCGAGTGACTTTTATTAAACTGTAAATGGATATTCATATATTTTGAAACTGATTAAATGTCTTAGAAATTGTGATTGTAGTTGTGAATGTTCTTTTCCATTGTGGTGGATAAGATGTATTTCAAGAAACAGCTGTTTCCAATATGGTCTTACCTCCTTTCACACAAAGCTATATTGATCTTCTTTCTGCCCTCTAAGCATTGCTAAAACATTTCATGCTCAGCACACCAGTCTACATACCCCACCAAATTTGCACCATCATTGAACATGTATATATTATGTGACTACTCACCACCAATACTATTATGCCACCTATATCGGCACAGCTAGCTCCCTCTGCTATTCCAGCTCAATCCTCACTTTCTGGATTGGCGTAGCTTCATTTAGATGTGTTTCTTCACATGTGGCTACTGTTTATGATTGGGCTTCTTTGCCATTTGAAATTTTTTTCAACAGTTTTATTTTACTGTGCTTGCATTCAATTGTTTGAAAGATTTTTTTTTTTCATTTCTTTCTTGTTACCGAATTATATGAGAAATTCATGTGAATTCAGAATTCAATGTATCGACTACGATAGTTCTGTTACAGTTCACATTGCTACTGGTATGACTATCAAATAATTGAGTTCGACTTTATCTGCAGAGGAGATACAAGCCTTAATTCGTAGGGAACTAGATTCATATGTTCAACCAGTGATTTCTTTTCATTTTCAATCTAACAATGTTGCTGAGGAAAAACTCAATCAAGGAGAAAGCAGTTTTTTCTGGCACCTTATTTTGGTCTGTCACATTATACTTCTTCAGGAGATTTCACCTTCCACTCCCTTTTTTACAGGTTGATGGTCAACACATATTCAGTTTTTTCTGTATGTTCAAGATGAGGGTGATTTTGCTACTTTTCTTTTTCCTGCTTCTGTTGCTGTGCCTCCACGTCATTCTCTTTGGTGAAGGTTTGTTCTTCTCCTCCATTCTTCCAATTGCATTCAGCTCTACCAGTGGATCAATGGTAAGTTTTTCGACTTCACACCTGGTTGTGATACCCATGATAGGTGTGGCTCAGATGCCCTTTGTGTGGCTTTGTACTTCTTTACACATGGGAGAATTAAGTATTTTACATTGTCAGTGCTTGGACTTTGGTAAGTTAGATATTTATGTGTTCTTTATCTTCTAAGTTAATTTAGATTTATTGTAAGTTAGATATTGATTATTACTTTGTTTTCTAGGTAATTTTAGTCAGTTTACAAGTTCATCATTATTATTAAGTACTTTGTAGATTAGGTGAATTTTTATGGTTTCTCAGTTCAATATTAATGAGTACTTTGTTAACATTTAGTTGAATAATGTTTTCTTTCTCGTCATTGTTAAATATGTGCCTTATAATCTTAATTTTTGTCAGTATTGGACAAAATGTTTTTGCATTGCTACATCACTGACCTGTTCATTTCTTGTCATTCATAGGGCTGATCTTTGCTTCGGCTCCATTTCATATGTTCTTGATACTACAAACCAATGTTTTGGCTTTTTCTCTACAATTCAAAGTTCATCCCCACAATACACACATTGTTGATAGTCATTTATAGCAAGAAGTCGAGTGTTCCATTTTAGGGCCCTACTATTTGGACCAACCTCTATATTGGCCAATGAAACCATGGTTTCCACTGCTCTGACCTTTACTTTTAAAACCTCCCCAACCCTTGCCTCTGTCTCTACTTTGTCAACTTCGGTTGTACATCATTCATCCAGATGTTACTATCGTCTGTTTTAACACATGGCTTTTGTCAGGTCCATTGCCTTGGCCCAGGGTCTGACACTATGTGTTGCATCTTTTCTTTCCAGATCCATAAGACCTTCTTCTGTATCCATTTACAAAGGCAGTGGTCTACCTTCCGCCTTTGGTCTCTTTGACATGGTTTCCAGCCTTTCCATTTTTCCTCTTTCCCAGTTCTTCACTTGGTTTTTTGACAAAGGTATGTCCACTTCAACTGTGTCTAGCTATTGGGCAGCCTTGTCAAACACGTTCTGTTTCTTCAAGTTTTGTCTTACCCTGTCATTTACCTCATTTTCTGCTCCTTTCAGGTCATGCATCCTCCACATTCCTTTGATTTGCCTGATTTGGATGTCAGTGTGGCCCTTTATATATCCCCTTTCCATTCTCTATTTGAACCTTTGTTGATATGTTCCATATACCATCTCTCCATCAAGACCTATTTCCTTCTTCTTGCTTGAGGACATTATTGTTCAGATATTTATGTCATTAATGTTACCAGAGTTTTCTATTATTCCACTGATGTCATCCTATATCTAGACTGGTCCTTTCTTCCTAAGACCTATGCTGCCCGTGAAGGCTGTTTAGCTTTCACACCCATTTTCTTAACTTTCTTCTATCACCTGTACTCCCATTCTGATCCAGATTGGCTTCTTTTTTTGATTCATTCTTTACGAAGTTATGTGGCATGTACTGCTTTCTTCCAGAGTTCTCATTCACCAACTTTTTCTTCCCCAGAATCCATCTGTTTCCCGTGATTTATCCCATCACACTAACTGGTTGGATTCATCAACTCATTAGGCTTGCATTTTCTGACTTATCTATGGAAGGTTCACCATCTCCACAACATTTCTTCTCATCAAATTCATCATATCACAATGACTTTAGCTGCTTGCCTTTGCCGACCATTGGAGGAGATCATTCAAGCCAGAATGTGGACTGCTCTCAATATATTCATCACTCATTATCTGCACAATATGGCTGTATCTTTCTCAGGTAGATATTGTCTCCCTCCCATGGAAATTTTACACACATCTATTTGCCTTTGACTGGGGTAAGTCTTATCACATCATTTCATTTATGTTTTATTTTCAGAGACTTTTTTTACCACTGCTAATGGGATCCCACACTGTGGCAGGTGTTACCTTGTCAGGTATATTTTGCCTCAAAACCACACTATTTACTGGTTGTACCATAACACTGACTGTAGAGATGGAGTATTCTGCAAGACCACTGGTGGCACGCCCAGTGGTATATGCATATGTTTCCGAATATCCATAAGTTTCACTCCATTGTGGATCATCATTCATGGAATTTCATGACTAAAGCAGAAGGGGATTTCTGCCCATCCCTGAATTTAATAAATCAGGGACAGTCTACATTTCAAAATAGGGAATCGTAGACATCCATTGCACTTTCTTCAGTGTGACATTCCTCTGGACTCCCCATTGCATTTACTTCCTCCTTTTTTTCTCCAAGTGGAGCAAGAAGTTCTTACCACTTCCCAGTTGCTGGTGGCCCATGGAGGCTTCCTCCTAAGTGCATTGTAAACATTTAACTTACCATATATCCACTCAGTGAGAAGAGAGCAAAACTGGTTTCCCTCCTTCCATTTCTCCTGGATGCTTATTTCCAGGTGGACAGGTGTCAGTTGGAGCAGGAGCAGGGATACTCTTCATAATACTGGGTTCGGGATGACACTGCCTTCTTCTCATTAATTCCATTTGCACGTGGTTCCTTCTCTATTCCTATGGTTGAATTTGGGGGACTTCACCTGCTTTGGAATACTGGCAACAGGATATGAGTACACTGTTCCTATGGTTGAGTGAATGTTCCATATACTCCTTATAATTCTAGATGCAGGATGACTCTTCCCTGCATTTACGATTATGTGAGTTAAGATTTCTGCTCTTCATTTCAGTTATTGCTCTGTTCTTATGGTTGAGTTGAGGTAATGCCATGACCCTGTAATGCCGAGTTCTGTTTGTTGTGCTTCTTACTCCTATGGTAGTTTTGAGAATTTGTGCAGTTTTGGCCACATGCTGACTTCCTGTTCATTATTCCATTTGCTTGACATATGACACAGTTTATTTACAGTTGGGATTCATGTGTATATGTAACATGGTCCACATGCCACAGTGTTTGTGTTACTCTATATTCGTTTTTATCTGATTGATCCTCCTCCTCCTAATGCCAAGGACAAGTTGTGGAACGTCATCTGTCCAGTTGAGGTTGGGTATATATGTAGCAAAGTGAGATTGTTTTTTACTATGGACTGCTCCTTTTAGAATGAATTACACTCATGCACATGGTTTTTTTTTCACCTGCATCAGGATCTTTTCCTTCTTCTAGGCTAAAGGGCATACTTGTTTCAGAAGTAGTGCTGTGTCCATATGTGTACTTCAATTTATCTTGGAACACACCCATTCGTTCTGAGCATTCTCTTTATGCTTGGTTTCAATGTTGTGCACCTTCATCAGACCCTCCACCTTTGTAATGTGGGGTTATAGCTTTGTGTAAGAAGAGGTAAGACCATATCAAAAGTTATCATTTCCTTACACAACAAATATATTTCCGATAGGTACTTACCTCCATTCACACATTTACCACCCTTCCTCCCCACTGCTGGTGTTATTCTTTTAGATCCTGCTAATTCTCAAAAGTGAGGATTGAGCAGGAATAGCAGAGGGAGATAGCTGTGCCAATATAAGAGCACGTTATTATTGGCGGATAGTAGTCACGTGATAGGTACATATTTAATAGTGGTGCAAAATTGTTAAGATATATGTATATATATACTGGTGCACTGAGTGTGAAATCTTCTTTGCAATGCTTAGAGGGCAGAAAGAAATACTGGTAAGAATCTATCAGAAATACATTTCCAGTCTAACAAATTTTTTATTATCCCAGCTTTATTGTCTAAAAATAATTTCATGAACAAAAGTTCAAATAATGCAACTATAACATGTAACGTACCTTTTGTCATAGGTACAGCACATCATTAACTTTGACTTTCCGCATCATATGTCTGATTACATTCACCGAGTAGGACGAACAGGACGAGTTGGGGCACAGGTTGAAGGTCACGTGACCAATTTTGTCTGTACACCTGCTGCTATAGAAATTGTGCAAAAGATTGAGGTGAGTATTACTTTTGTTTGTTTACTTCTTGAATGTCTTCAAGCCTGAATTGTTTAACCCTATGACTACTGACTACTAATTTTTTAGAAAACAACATTGCTTTTATCATATTTCTTTACAAAAATATAAGTAGTGGATGAAATGGGTTGAAATTTGACAACAATTTTCTTAAAAGTATGTAGTTTCAGAAAAAAGAAAAATATTTAATTTTGATTTTTTCTACATTTTTTAAAATAAAAATTCGTTATATAATGCACCTATTTGCACTCTGACTCTGAATAGTTCACCTGCAAAGTGATTTTCATTTTAAGAATAAAAAATACTAATTTTTCTTACAATTTTCATATTTCGCTTGCATGATCTTTAGAACCTCCTAAATGAATATCAAAAGTTTATAAAGGTAAATGCTTATATTTTATTTGCCATTT